TGCATTTCCCCCTGTAGCTCTCAATCAAAGACTAAATAAATACTCTGGCTGCAACTCACCCAAACCAAAGCTCTGACCTTTCTGAGTGGAATGAATAAACCTGCAACACAAATATCTCTGAAAGCCCACCTGAGCTTGTTGAGTGCAAGATGTCTCACCAGACTTCAGGTGTCTCCCCCTGTCTGAGCAGACACCACAACTAGCCACAGAAGAAGAAACTGGGGGAATCAAAAAGCAGTGGGTATCAATCTGTGGTCTAGCTTTCAGGTGCAGAGAAATGATCAAAAAGCAGAACTATCAGGGTGCAGCCATTAGGAATGAATCGCAAGGCACACCACCCGCAAACTGCCTAAGAAGAAACCGTAAGCACCAACGTCAGTGAGCTAGCATGGTTTGGGAAAGAAGTTTTTGTCCAAGTCTCCTGGACAACTCAGTCCTGATTTCCAGTATGCAAAATCTCCTGCTGTAACCCACACAAACACAACAAAAACGTACCGTGCACATCAATCTATAGATCATTAAGCACACCATGTTCCCCTATGGAATAACACAGTTTTGCTTCACTCATCATCTATGATTGGCCTAAGTATTATTAATTAGTATTATTTTTTAAGAAAGGAAATGTTAAGTCTCGCTATTTTTTCCTGCACGCTATGCATTGTGTGACCCATGAACTCTGAAGACATTGGTTAGAACCAGATACTTCATCAGGAAGCACTAACGTGGAGTTCACTGCCCCTTTTATTACTTCTAGAAAGAGAATATGCAATTAGTTTCATTGGATTGCCATTGCCACTTGCCTTGACCCATTTTTATGAGGGCTCCATGTTCTGCTGTTTTGTATTTCATTGTCATTTCTAAAATATTTGCTCCCTTCCATCCCTCACAAAATGACAAAATTAGTATTTCATTTACTTCTGTCGTATGTTATTTCCCGCATATTTAAAGAGAGACCACAATGTTTGCAGTGAACACACAATACAAAAAAGCTTCCCTACAGCTTTCTGCTAAGCCCTCTTTTATTTACTAATGTTCCTCCGTGATTTATGATCTGAACTATTATAAATTGCCAGAGTTGTCTAAATCAAAGCTTCTGAGGGAAAAAAAGGGTAGAGGGATGTCATTTACAAAGGGGACTAAAGTAACAGTGAAAAAAAGCACGTGAAAGCCATTCCTATTTCTTTAAAGTCAACATTTGACTGCTCTTAAATCAATATGTACCTACCAGCTTCAGCACGTCTATCTGTCAGCTTATGCAGAAAATGAAAGGCAAGGTTTCCCCACCCTCTGAATAGCAGGTACTTTGCTGCAGTGGTGGCTCATTACTCCAGAGAACCAGCTTATCCACCCCAACACTCCAGAGACAACAGCTTGATTCATCATTTTCCCAACTGAGTCAGGTTTCTCTGCCCCAGCAATTAACAATGAATTAGCACTATATTAAAGTGCCAGGCAAGATTCGCTGGAGTGGTCACCTTGGACACAGCAGACAAACACTGGGAGAAGGGAGAGAAATTAGATTTACTGTATCCCACCCAGAGAGTCTGTAACAAACACTGGATCCCTGGTTGGCAACGGAAAGCGGCTATAGGCACTTCTCAGCATTAACACTCCAGAAAGGTCCAATGCCAGCCTGGGAATGGTGGGATTTAGTGAGGGATGCTAAGTAAGACAGGGTACCCTCACCTCTGCAGAGCAAGAAGCTAAACACAGAAGCATGAGGGCTGCTTGCTGCAAAGCGACTACTCCACATGCAGGCTGGTCCAACAGACCTCCACAACAGCCAGGCCAGATCAAAGATCCAGCCAGGATCCCACACCTAATGGTGGTGGAAGAGGATGAGAACAGGGTAAAAACATCATAATGCTTTCTGGCATCCCCTCCCACTTTCCAGGAATCTGTGGGATAAAGTCACTTAGTGCACACCTGAATAACCTTAAAAACCAAGTGAGCGGCTGTGGCGAGCTCAGCCTGCACACAGAGCAACATGTAGGTATAGTGTGGATGCTCTGCAACCAGCATGTGAAGGCAAATCTGCACTCCAGCACGTCCATATGGTCACACCCGATGCTGCCAGAGAACACAGCCATGTCACAGAGCTCCACAGGGCTCACATTTTATGACTCCTCAGCACAATAACAAATAAATCAAGAGTGCAGGGAGGAATTTCTTGTGCACTGAGCTTCCATTATAGACGTTTTTCATTTCAGAAACAGGAAAATATTTGATTAAATGGATTAATATATGGCAGACGGGAAAAATCTAATGGAAGAGAGAAAGAATGAAAATGTTTCTTTTTAATGCCCTGAACCTAACTTTAGCTAAACAGTGCAGTAGAGGGTACCAATACCAAACACAGGGCAAGAACCTGCCGCAAAAGAAACAATAATGCCTTAAAACATCAAAAGCTATTCCCAGCTGATCTTTTACAGCAGGACCACAACTGCCCCACTGTGCGCACTATGGCATTAAAGGACAGAAACCATACATGGCCTTCGGTTGATTCCCTCACTGAAGATGCGCCCAACCCTCTAATTGGGAAGTGATCTACACAAAGCCCATCACATCTTTGCCATTTCCAAGAAACTATACCAGAGAAAAGGCTTAAATTTATCTATCCATTATCTCTCACTGGTCATGCCTCTTGTGATGACAAGCAGGATTTTCTTCCAAGTATTTCAGTCTGACAGAGGGGTGTCCGCAGCCCACGAGAAGGCTCAGTCATGCTCTGGCATCAGCATGGGGCAGCCTGTTTCCAGGCTCTTTGAGTCCCACAGCTGGAGGAGCAGGAAACTCAAGCATCAGACACAAGTTACTGTGCATACGCCAAATCCACCAGAGCAGAGAGGAAGATGGGGTGGGTGGAGAGAGAGCAGAGGTAAGAGGCTCCTGCCTGCTTTGGTGTCACTGTACTGCTCCAGCTGCTACTCACAGCACTGCTACTTGCATCTTCTTCATAGGACTGTCAACTTGACATCAAGGCTGCAGGTAAGGGCTCGACCTACAGTGCACTTTCCACTAGCAAAGCCTACAAAGCAAATCAGGTCAGTGACTGCAGCTCTTGGATGTTTCCACCCGCTGCTAAAATGCAGCCAGGCACCGTGGCAGACATTCTGCACCCGCCACTGCTTTGAGAAGGAAATGAGAGTTGCCTTCCCACTTGACACTACAGGGGGAATTTTAGATAGGCAGAATGTAATTACTTGGCCTGGAGTTTAGCCAGGAGTAGGGCCCAAGACCCCTACCCTTATGTAAGGTGTCACAAAATCTCCCATGACTGCAAGTGCGAGGACCTCAGCTTTACGTCTCTGGCTGCTGTCACTGATTCTTCATGGCTAATTACCTAATAGTGACCCTTGCAGCAAAGCCAAAAGACAAACTTTGCTGCCTGAAACAATTCGAGTCCCAGAGACTGAAAACTACACCAAAATTGCTTGGTGGAGAGTATCTTCTGACAGCAGGGAGCAGGTGGACAGCAAGCCTCCTGTGTCTTGCACTGGTAGCGTGTCACTCCGAAACCTGCTGGGGTTTTTGGATGGGCAAACATAGCTTTAAAATGCAGCACCCTCAAAACACAAGCCTACTGTACCAACTGTTTACCAGCGTCTCCAGAGTTTTGCTGTATGTACTTGCCACCTGGTTCCATTTATTTTTCTTCGTTTTTCCTCTTTTGACTGTAATAAATAATTAATCCATGGCTTTGTAACTTGCTGACAAATATAAATGCACCGCGTTCCAACACAGTGTAACACGTCACTCACAAGAGCCAACCTGCATGACACAGAAAAGTGATGTGCAGAAGGCTTTGGAAAGTAGGCTAATCATCAAGGTCACCCACAAGAGCTCAGGGAAACAACTTCAAACTGTTCCTTAGGGGATACTCCTACTTGCTGTGGCCACCCAAACTGGGTTAATAAGCTCGGATCTACACAGATCTAGTTGTCTTCCCACGTTAGCTCGGGCCTTTACTCTTTTGTAGCTCCTTGCCTCCAAGATCCCACAGATTTTTGGGAAGATGGAAGACAAAACCTGGGGCATTCATTAGTTACTCAGAGCACTTCCCCTACTTCATAGCTCTGAGAATCCAAATACCAAGAAATCCATTTTCTCTTCCAGGAAAAGACCAAATGGACAGCAAGGAGGAAGTCAGCAGCAGAAGAAACAAAGAAGACTGATCTAGGCAACAATTAATCTGGGCAAGACCAATGTGTTTCAGAAGGGGCAGGACAAGAAGACAAGAAAATCCTCCCGCCTTGGAAAAAGGTGACTAGACAGCTGGCAGCAGTGCTAGCAGCAGCAGAACAAGAGCAGTGACAAAGAATAGAGGCGGAATGCCAAGGTTCGCAGCCAGAGTAGCAGAGTGGTGCAAGCTGCCATCAAATAACAACGGGCAGAGCAAAGGTGGGAGGTGGAACCATGAGATTACCGGAGAGAAACAGTACAGACAGCTCTCTGAGGGCAGTCACACCATGGGATCAGGTGAAGGGTACAGAGCACCAGCGGCAATTCAAAAGGAAGGTCTGCTGTGGAAGGCGTTGCCTCAGCTTTTTAGGTTGAGAACAAACATCTGGGGAGGCTCTCTTGACCATCTGCAGATGTTTGGTTTTCTGACATGCATTACTAGTTATTAGGAATACACATAAGGCTGATTTTCTCTTCTGACTGAAGCTGAACTGCAAACATGGCAAGTCTTCACTTTGTTTTCCCTATGCATATCTGAATCTATTTCTCATTCTGTTAAGGCCAAAACCAAGGATAGAACAAGGGTGTACAAACCAAAAACACATACTAACCACAAAGACTGTACAGAGGAGCACAACAATCCTAAGGAGGCTGTGAAAGGAAGGCCCGTGCCCCACAAAATGCTCACACAGCCACTTTAGAAGTATTTTTCATCTCCAGTCCATGTATAAAAAGCACTTCCCCATGTTACACTCTTCAAATCCCACACATGCTGTTGCCCTGCACAGACACCCTCAGAAGGAAGTTAGCTCTCTGACCTGTACAGGCTCAGGAGTCAGCTGGACAACATGCTGCATACGCTCGCTGTGGTGATGCCTGGACTCCTCCTCATAGATCACATCCCTCTCGTGCTGGGGAAGGTTCAGGAAGCGGCGAATGGTGCAGAGGTTCTCCCAAAGGGTGCGGTTTTCCGGGCTTGGGTTTTCTTTCCAGCGAAGCAGCTCACACAGCCAGCCCTGCAATGGTAGGGTCAGCACAGGTAATTCACTGAGCTCCAAGGAACCAGATGCGAGTGGAAGGTCAGCTGGACTTAAAGCTCTGCAAGTTTTGCTGGTCTCATCTCACACAGCTTCCACCCCCCACCCCCCCCCCCTGCTGCCCTTTGGTCTCAACAAATCCTCTATATATTATATTTCCTGCAAGTGGGAGAAACAGAAACAATTAGCAGCACCTAACAGGAACCAGGAAGCACAGCATCTTGCTGCCTGTCATAATCATACCATGTTTAAAATGCTTGGGTATAAATGTATTTCCTATAGAAAAACAGAGTTGAAATAAGGGTGCACCTCCACTTCTGTTTCAAAGCCCCTTTATTTCTTCATCCAAGAAAGAGAAATGAGACATAACCCCTAAGACTTGCTAACAACCCTCATGGTGAGGGCTGCAGCTGCAGAACTACAAATTCAACCACTACTGAAAATGTTTAAAAGATGATACTATCAGGTAAAGATCTCTGATCTGCTGTCACTTAGTTGCATTGGCTCCCCCAGCTCTGAACCCCACTGAAATTTGACAGCTTTAAGTAATCAAATGGCCACTTAGAAGATGCAATCTCACAGAAAGGGAATCCTCTGCGATTTAGGACACAAGCAGCAAAGAGGGTCCCGCTGAAGTTACTAGAGAGATCAAAATACTAGGTGGAGCAATTCGAAACCCAGCTGCAGGTCAGAGCAGTAGTCAATTTTATTCCTGCTATCTTGTTTTAGGGCTAGTTTGAAATGCCTTCAAAAAGGTCCCACTGCACGAAATCCTGTAGGACCTCTCCACAGGGGCTGAGAGCTCAGACCCCAGGAGAGGAAAGCACCAGCACTTCAGGAATAGGAAACCACCCCAAAGCACAAAGCCAACCAGAGAGTACCACATCCATAGCTGTTATGGTGAGGACAGCCCCTTGTGTGGTGAGCATGTGTGGCAGTGACCCGGCATCCCCAGCAGGTTAACCAGGGACGGTGGCCGCTGCTACCCAGGTGGGGACATGGGGACACAGCCAGCCCTGCCTGGGGCTGGGGACAGCAACTCCCCTCCTGTGCCTGTGCACAGGAGATGCAGTGCAAATCACAGGAGAAGATAATGCTGAGGATGCTGTCAACGTGCCTTACTGACTCCTGTCAAAATATTTTACCTAGTAGCTTTATAACCCATCATTTCCGAGCTACAATTCCACATTTTGACACCATTTTGACAGGCACCTTACAATACCTAAAAGATAGCTTGATCAATGCTAAAAAGGTTTGGTACAAGAAGTAGCCAAAACTGTATTTTTCTGAACAGCAAGTAGAGCAAGCTGAACAGCCGGGTTCATTACCAGCCCACATGGGGGGGTCTGGGTATGGCTTTTTTGTGTAACAACTTGTAAGCCATTGATAACTTCTATCGTGCACTCTAAACCCCGTATATAACATCATAAGCCGTTGTTTGTCTTACTCTCCACTGTGTCTTCTGCCTTCACCCCCCCAAAAAAGGCAAGATTTGATTATCTCCGCTGCATCAGCCAAGACAGCAACACCAGCTGTTCTCATTGTGCAGCCTCTTCCTCACGGCCTACATGTTAATAACCTGATCATTCCATTTTCTCCTTCAACTGCCGGCTGCAGCACAGCGAAGAGACAAAAACCCAGGCCCATCTGCAGCAGCTGTAGGCACTGAACTGTGAAGCCACCAGGGATTTATAAACTAATCTGTAACACAACACTGCCTTGTTTTTACAAGTGAGAGGCCACATTTGTGCAGACCTGATCTTTTCTTGCAATAAACTGGGAGGGTTGAGGGGGGGGCAAGGATGAAGACAAGATATCTGATCATTTACTTGATGGGGGGGATCTGCATTATATTTTCAAAGCGATTTGACTGGTATTTGGGTAATCTTGCAGCCAGGTGATGTCTGCATTTTAATGTGGTTTGGCCACATCCCTTGCCCTTAGTTCTCCTCTTTCCCTTTCCACCGCTCAGAAATCCCCCCAAACTCTCTCTTTTACAGGAAGAAAATCTCCCAGCTCCACAGGGCTTTCTCATGGGCTACTCTGTACAAAGAAAATAATTTCTGAAATGGAAAATAAACCATCTGTGGAAAAAAATAAGCTCCCATTTCTCCCTGTTTCCAGTGATCTAAGAAGTCTCCAGCTGAACTCTTCTACATGTTCCAAGCAGGTATGTTTAACATCTCCTGAAGGGAACGCCAATCGTTGAACAGAAAACACACACAAACTGCTGCAAGCTGGTGGGGCCAGAGCCTGAGGAAGATGCTCCTGGGGTATTCCCAGGGCTGTGGAGCACTGCATGGTGCCTGGCTCAGTGCAGCCACCTCCCTTGCCCAGCACTGCGCCAGCTAGCCCGGACTGCTGCATTGTGATTTATCTGTCCCGTTATCATCAGCACTCATTACAATCACTTAGAGCAACACTACAGGCCTCATTATGGACTAGGCACTCGCTGCCATTAGTCTTTAAGAAGGATAGCGCTCAATTTGCCTGGCAACATGCGAGGTCCTGACCTTGGAGCTATTAGGGAAAAGATTAGACTGCAGTGTGACCATGTGTGCAGACATGAGCAAACCAAATTAATTTCTGGCAAAGGGAGGCACCAGGCAAAGACCCCGCCATCCTGAGGACACCTGAGAACTTCTCCATTCCCCCAAGGAGATAAGCTAATGGCACGTTTAAAGGAGCCTGGTTCTGAAGGTGAAGCACATCCACGGTATTTAGAGAGATATTAATCCAGTTTCTCCACAAAGTATTTGCTTGGCTGATCAGATTAAGGGATCTAGCCTTCAACAGCACACCCCCACCACAGCAGGCCCCAAGAAATCTGTGATACTTCACAGCCTCAGACATATTGCACCATGTGTACCCAGCTGCTACAATAATTAGCTTATGAATGTATCAGCTGGTTCTGTGATTTTTATAAATAATAACTAACCTACGGAGCAGAAGATTTCCATGAGCCTAATATTAGCAAGACATTGCAAGGTGCGCCTAACCGAGCTGCCGTTGCTGTGCCAAACGCCCCGTCTTCTCCCACCTTGTGCGGGACTGCATCTCCCCCACTGCCATTTATAAATATTTATTTCTGCAACGGCAACAGCAATGTATTTGTGGCAGCTTTCTTCACAAGAGCCACGATTCGCTCACCCCCACACATACACACGCGTACCCGTACCCACCGTGTGCGTGTGTACGCTTCTCTGCTGCAGATCCGTCTTTGCATTGCTCTTTTCCTACCCTCCTCTTTATTTATTCGAGCAGTCACTCTATCCCCCATCCACTCCAGAAGCTATCTATCCATCCACGGGGCTGCTCATTAGGTGATAGCTCTGGTTAATACGTGAGGAAACAGCGCTGCAGCTTACTCGCGCGTTCTTTATGACTGCAAGTAACCGCCTTTCCCATGCACAGATGAGAAGGCTGCATCGGATTCCTTTCATTATTTATTTAAATAATCCTAGCACGCCATCCAAGAAAGTTTTGCAGTACCAGGCAAAAAAAAAAAAAAATAGGGGAAAAAAAAAAAAGTGTAAATGTCAAATAAAACAGTGACAGATGACAGTATTCTCTATTGAATAGCACCGTTTCTTCGTGCATGTTCAATGAGAACTCATGAATTATTAATACGCAAATCTCCTTTTTCTGTTAAAAATCTCAACTTGGGGTTTTTTTGGTTGCAATTTTTTTGTTATTTTCTTTTATTTATTTCTTGGGGTCTGTGTATGTTACACAGAGCTTTCCAGGAGAATTATTTCGTTTAAGAAATGCTAACATACAGAAATGCTTGGAGCTACAGGCATTCACAATGAATTTTCATCTATAGCTATATTTATTGGCATGAAGAAGGAGAAGTGAAGAAGGAGACACTATCTCACCACCTTTTCCCCCACTCATCCACAGATCTGAGCTCACGGCATTACAACTAAATCCAACTTCTGTGAACGTATTCTGGAAATCTAACAAATAACACATCCTTCCCCGGAGCCCTGGTACACTGTGATTTTCTGATCCTGCCTCCCCTGCACATCACAAGTCTGGCTCCACTGCACAAACAGCCCCCTTGACTGCCACAGAGCTACCCAGAGAGTTTGGTATGTGACAGCTTCAATATGGGTGGCAGAATCTGGCCCTCCACGTCAGCTTCTAAGGTTCTCAAATGGGAATGTCTTCCATTAAAAATAAAAAAAGGATAAACAGTACAATTAAAGGATGCTTTTGGCTCTGCAGTCAGGCACACCCAGTGCTTGTGGTTACAAGGAATTCTGCTCAGAACTTCCTTCATTTCACCCCAAAACTTCCAGAGGCATTGAGAACACAGCCCAGTTTAGTTCATTAAAGAGAGCTGCAGAGAAGCGCTGGCTTCTATTTTTGTTGTTCTCATGAGACAAGATAAACATTTTCTAAGCATTTTATTTGATACAACAAATAATATCATATTAATGTCCTATTTTTAACCTCTCTGTCTCCTAATCGAACGCATTTCCACATAGCCAAGCAAACAACAACAAAAATCTGCAGGAAGCCAGCCATTCCCATTGTGCTTTTATGCTGTTAAAGAAACAGCGTGCTTACTACACCACAGCATTAGCCTTGGCGCACCCCAACCCCCTCGAGGGACACTTAGCTGGTGCAGAAATCACAAGCCATATCCCCTGTCACTTATCCCTGAGCCCTTTTTAGCAGCTTGACCCTTTCACTTTTGCTAGACACCCTGGAGCAGGGGAGGATGCTCCGGCAGCCGATGACTATAAGGTCAGGTTTTCCAGCGCTCTATGAAGATATGCACAAATATCCTGGCCCTGGAGCTGCGTCCTGCAGATCTGCTGACTCAGAGTCAGCCAAGGACCAAATGTTTAATTAAGGACAAGAGAGCATTTAGGAGGAGTTCAGGCTCGGTTTTTGTGGGGCTATAGCCCAGTGCTTACACCCTGAGCAGCATCTCTACAGAAAGCCACTGCAGGAGATGGCAGCTGGGT